CAAACCCTGCCCCGAACCCTGCCCTGAATATGGCCCCAAACCCTGCCCCAAACCCTGCCCCAAACCCTGCCCCGATCCCTGCTTCAAACTCTGCCCCAAACCCTGCCTCAAACCCTGCCCCAAACCCTGCCCTGAACATGGCCCCAAACCTGGCCCCACACCCTATCCCAAGCTGTGCCCTCCACCCTGCCCCAAACCCTGCCCCAAACCCTGCTTTGCCTCTCTCACTTGTAGGGCCAGCAGCAACAAAGCTAACAGGGATTAAACTGCCACACAACCAACCAATCCTAATGAGTCTTGAAATCTCAGACCTACATAAAACCTTCTGTCCCAGCTTTCCACTTCTCACTCCCCACATGATTTCATGTTTAATGAAAAACTGACCTTATCACTCAGAGYTATGATTTAAAACTGCTTTTTTTCCACATGAGTCATGCCACCATGACTTTTTTTCCTGGCTTAGAAAGTATCAAAACTTCATTTCTTTGTAAACAGAAAATCGGAACCTCAGCAAAAATTATTTCCAAGGAAACAATTTACAGTTAATATTCTGTACAGTCATGCTCCTTGGAAACATCCTAGCTGCTCCAGGAACTGTTCAGCACATGGAGCACCAACAATTGCCACAATATTCCCCACACTGGCTTCCCTGCAGGGATTTTGGGKWTTTTTGGCCAATGCCTGTTAAAAACCCACAAAAGTGCTTATCTGACAATAACTCTGAGTTACAAGGCATTTTCACTGCAGACTGGAGAGCTGTTTGTAGTGACAAAAAATTCGGTTTTAATTGTGTGTTGAATGGAGCTGGCAAGCAGCTGCATGGGAGTGTTAAAAATAGCGACATGTAAATAAAAGTAAAATAAATTAWATAAAATTCATAACRTGTTCTTCATCTGGGTAGACTTAGAAAGTTAAACCTGATGTTTTTATCGAATCACCCACTTTGCCAGCTCAAAGAGAGTTTCCACATAAAATTATTAATTAATTAATKGAAGTTCAAGCACAAAGAGCTTTTTAGCAAAACTTTTCATGCAAAAAAATTAAGGGGCTATAGATTTAAAAGCAAGGAAAAATATTCTATCAAGTAAAATAGGATTAGTTAGGCAGAAAAACTAACTGAGGGAGATGAACAAGGAAAAAAAATTGTGTGAACATCCAGGATTAAACCTGGATTTACTGGATAAATGAARCCATATGCAGAATTATTTGTGTATATATACACATATAAATATACATAAATATACACAAATATACATATAAACATTRATTTCTTAAGAGCACTTGCATCAATGGAATTGAATAAGACATTCTACATTGGCTGGTTTACAAATCAATGCCTAAATATCACAGCAATRAAGTGCTCTATGATTCTGCTGGCAGAATATTTTTTTTAAATAGCACCTTAGTAACAGGCTTTGTAAAAATTTTATAAACTTTTATAAAATTCTGGCTCCATGTTAGAAGAGATGTGTAAATTCTGYATTTCCTCTCTGGTTTCCAGTGCTGCTAACCATAACCTAAAAGATGATGGAAAAGCTCTTTTTTTCTACATTGGTTGAATTGGAGCAGAGGACATTTCCTTTTCTGTGTAGGGGCAGAAAACCTCAAAGCATTCAAGTATCCTGGATATCTGAGCACAAAGCCCACCTGAGATCCACGTGCCTTTTCCTCCATGCCTAAAAACCTCATCTGAGCATCTGCTGGGCAAGGTGCTGCAATTCCTGCTCTGGGTTGAGAATTCCAGCTCCAAGCTCCTGAAGGAACCCTGGGGTGGGATCACTTCTCTGTGCTGCCATGCCAGTTGTACCCTTGGAACTCCCATGGCAGGAAAAGAAAWGGTGATAAAAATAATTCCCTGCTGGGGTAGCCCAGATTGAAATCAGGAATTGTGGTGGTGTTTGGCCATGCCAGCCTCACAGGGGGAATGTGCTGCTGAGAAATGAGCTCAGGCAGGGTAAAGATTGCCATGAACACGAGAAATTCATCCTCTAATTAAACAGCAGCACTGCACGAGCCAAGCTTTGTTCCTGCCTGGGCAATAAATGATTGAACAYGATCATTTATAAATGAAACACACAGAATGGCACTGGAACGAGGGTGGCGTTAGCAAACATCTGCTGAGGGCTGAGCAGAACTAAACAGCAAGGAAACGAGCAGGGCATTTCTCCTTTGGAAAGGGAACCCAGCAGGGCAGGAGCCYCATCCCCAGGATCCTGCAGAGGAGGAGCTGCACTAAAGGGAGCTCCTGCCACCCCTTGGGGCCATCCTGTCCCCAGCCCAGCCAGGGTCAGACACACCCCAGAGCCTCCAGCAGCTGGAAATGCTGCTCCAGCTGCAGCTGGGGGTGCYCTGTCCTAGAGGGGGACACAAAATCCTTCACCTGAGGGGTTTTGCTGGGTGGCTGATTTCTGGAGCCCTCCAGCCTCTGCTGGAGGAGCTGAAAATGCACAGCCCTTGTAACACTGTTTGAGGGCAATGGTGTTCCAGTATCTGAAGGAATAACACCACTGGGCTTTACCACTGTCTCAGAATTCATTAAGCCTGTTTAATTAACTGACAGCTGTTAAAGTAAATCATTATAAAATTTGAAATCACCTTGATAATGGTTTAACCTGGTTGCAGCTCAAAATACATGTTCAGAATGAAGATGTGCCGGAAGATTGTCATGAAGTTACAGGCAGCATAATAATCCTCTAATCCTCATAACAACCCCAGTGAAGGTCTTCCTGKGACAAAAAGGAGTTAAATGCAATGGCTTTTATAGGATAAAGCTTAAAAAGTATGAAAGTATTGCTCTGATAGTACAGGTGCATTGTMGGCAGTCCTGTTGTAAATTACTCCGCACATGAGAAAAATCAGTTTGAGGTAACAAGAGGTAACTAAGCAATAAATAGCTATTGATATAACATTGCATTTATATCTTAAACCTCCTGCCCCTACAAAATACAGTCAGGGAATGATGTAAAGAACATTTACATCCAGTTTGGGCCCCCAGAATGTGTCCAGCTGTGCAATGACTGTGCAAGAACATCCTTGTATAGTATGATCCTTTCCTTGGGAAAAGTCTCTCTTCAGCTGTATACTTGAACAGAACTGCCCCCAAAAACCACAGTGATCCTCCTCACTTTAGAGTTACTCAAGAGAAAAAGGGGAGTTGAGGTGGAATAGCTATGAGTTACCCACAAATGAGCTCTGAAATATTCAAGACTCATAAAATAAGGAACTTTGCTGCAGCTGCCCTAGCCCCTGCCCTGCCTGGGGTCCCCCAGGTAGTTGAAGCTCTCACTTGTCTGTGGCTCAGAATCAGGGTTTAAACAGCCACTGCTGGGGTTGCTGGGGTGTTGCTGAGGGTTCCTGTTTCCAGCAGAGGATCAGCTCTTCCGYTCCGTGGAGGGCCAGGCTGCCTCCGACGAGGAGGACGAGAAGTGGGCAGGAGAGCGAGCTCCCCGGCTGCAGCACGTGCACCAGATCCTGGCCAGGCTCCCTTGCTGCGGCAGTGGGTGAGTTCAGATCCTACATTAGTGCCATTTGAGCCTTTGGAAAGATCTAAGTGTGCTTTGCCCATCCTTTATGGCGCGTGGGGAACACCATGCTGGACATTCCCCCTGAGCCCGAATCAGTGTTAGCCTCACTGGTGATCTGTGCTGACAAGAATYCCACAGRGAAACTGGCTTTTCCAAACACAGACCTTCATCAGGAGGCTTCACCAGCTCTTCTCTTTTGATTGTGTGTGTAGATGTGATGAAAAGACGTGGAGAAAGCTGCTCTCCTACTTGGAGACCACCACCAACACCGACAGCTCCACCACAGCGCCTGCAGAGCTCTCGGGGGGAACCTCCCCTCTCATGGAGCAGCTGGAGCTCAAGGGGCACCCMGGGAGAAAACTGGAGACAACCATGGAAGAGGTAACAGGTGCCAAGCAGAGTGTGKAAGGGTTATTTGTATTTTGGGTAGCTGCATTCACATGTATTTATATTTTCCTCTGGCCATTCTGCTCCCTCTTGCTGATGTTCCTCCTTGTGCTGTGGTTTGTCAGATCAAACTCCTGCTTTCCTCTCACACCGCATTCCTGCTCTGGTTCCTACCCAAAACTGCCTCTAGAGGATGAAATGCAGCCCAGGACCTTCAAATATTGCCCTTGATTTGCTGGGGTTCCTGAGCTGTGGATGAAATCCTCCCCATATCCGCAGGCATCCAGGACATCTGGGGGCACAGTAATTTTCCAGTAAATCTCTCCAGCTGACTGAGACTCGGTGTTTTGGAGTAAATTACCCCATTTGCTCTATTTCTTGGGCTTAGCCCAATATATTTATAAATAAAATAAATAATATGAATAGAATTAATAAGAAGAATGAAATAAGTTATAAGGTTTAGCAGAATATCCAACTCCCCTTCAGCAGAGGTTATAACCATATTATCTAAAGCCCCAGTGCTGTATCCCAGCAGTCCTGCGTGATTTTAATATTTAAATATTGCAGATTTCAGCCACTGGTGGGCTCAGATCGAAGTGCCATATTTTTCTTTCCATGAAACAAAACAAGTGCACCACATGCATTGCCCTTCTCTGCTTCTTCTGAGCTTCAGCTGGTTTAGTGTTTTTTACCCCCTTTTTAAACAAAGCAAAAAGCTTTTAAAAGTTCTGGGAGGATTATATGAATCAGTCAAATATTTAAAGTACAGGTAAAATAGTCAACGTCTTTACAAATTGCTGTCCTTTTTTTAATCAATATTTCATGTAATCTTTTCCGTTGATTAAATTAAGTGGAAGAGTTTACTTGCTAGGGAGAAAAAAATTAAACCAGAATAAAATCCYGTTTCTGCCTGACACAGTTTGCAGTATTCAAGGACAATTTACCCCTGCAATATTCTTTAGAGCAACAAAGAGGTTCCTTCTCTACTGCCTAGCATCAGTCCACAGAATAAAAACCACCTTCAGGTAGTGCCTGTTTTCTTCTCCTTTTTTCTCAGTCCGAGATGCTCACTTCTTCTGCAGCATCACACTGCCCTCTTTTTCATCATTAGTTCTGTGCAGCTTGTCTGGAGAAGCACCGTTACCAAGAGATTAATACAAAATTCCAGAGGAAAAATGAAATCTGTTGCTCTTGATTTAGAGGCAAGCAGGGAGGTGAAGAAGACTTGGTGCCAACACACTGCGAGGGGAATTTAATCAGTGGGATGAATCATTCTGAGCCTGTTAGAAATTTATTCTTAAGCTCTTTTATTTATCCAGCAGTTGCAGGGGAGGAGTTGGATGCTACAAATCAGACAAACAATAAGGAATTCCTGTCAAAAAGGTGACTTTTCTTGTAATCAGATAGGGAGACTGAGAAATGCTCTCTGTCTCTCGAGTACCTTGCAAATAAATAGATTGGCTTAATAAATAAACCACCAACACCTTCTCTGAACCTGCCAAAAGTACCTTATATATTTATGTGCTTCTGTTTGGAGGGTGGAAAATCAGAAAAATAACAAAAATAACAGGCAGTGGACTCAGCAGGCAACTGAAGGGCAGCACTCTCAGATACTGATTAATAATTGCTTCAGCCTGAGGCTGGTAAAACCAGAGGGTGAAGGAGTTCTGAGATTTGTCATGTCTAGAAAGTTCTACTTTCCAACAACCAAACACATAAAAATAGCTTCTCCTGAAGGCAGGGTGGTGACCTGGGGATGATAGATGGGGAGAGCACAAGTGAAACCTAAAAATAAAGTGTTCTGCTGCCAAACGCAGCATTGCAAAGAAATGCCAATTATTTTCTGTAAAAGCTTGCATGCGAGCTGCCAGCTTAATGAGAAAGACAATTAATTTGTGAACTGCCATGCAGGGTCAAATGAGGATCTCATGCCAATATCTGGATAAAATCAAGGAGGCACAGGGTGTTCCTCTTGGTGCCTCTCACCCGGTTCCCAGTGCAGCAGGGACAGACACGTCCTGCCCTTGCTGTCCATGGAGTATTATGGTTAATGGCCAATATTGGAGCTATTTRCCATGAATTCACTTTGCCTCTCCTTGAAGCTGGCAGTGCTTTTGGTATCTCAGGACAAGGATTCCCACACAGTCCTTGGAAAGGAACAAGTCTCCAGGATTTGTCTTTTTTTAGCTTCAAATCTGCTGCTTGATCGCCTCGGGTTTGTGCTTGGGGATCAGCAAAGGGTTTTTCCCCTTACAATTTTCCAGATTTTTACTGCCAGAACTGAGTTATGACCATTCCCAATCTGCCTCAGCTCTTCTGGTGTGGGAAACATCACCTCCCTCTGTTACTCTGATTCTTCCATGCACTTTCCAAGCTCTGTTACCCTTTTGGAGAGAGAACAGAAAACGTGGTTGGGATCTAAATGCAATGGCATCAGCACAGTTGGTGCTTCATGCCCTGTTCCTTTCCTGCCATCCTCTGGCAGGTACCTTGTGATCCCTGTTGGCTGCTGAGCTGTGCCCAGGAGGTTCCAGCCCTCCTCCACCATCCCTGCTCATTCCTGCCTCCCTTTGGACACTGAATTCCAGCTGATCTTTTATKGCCCATGGGTGTTCAACATTCACTCCTGCTGCGATTCTTTACAGGCAGCTTTGGGGTTGATTACCCCCAGAAAACTGTGTTGAGAGCAAAYTCAAACACTGAGACATTCACCTGTTTCAAAAATCATTTATGAAGAGCTCAGGTCTCAGCCCGGATCCTTGTGAGATCCTAAGGATTGTTGTGAACCCTTCACTCCTGGTCCCTGCCCCACTTTTTAACCAGCCCGAAGTCCACGGCAGGATCTCTGCTCCTGCAGAGGTGGAATTTAATATTTTATTGGGTTTTTAGTCTTTGGTGGTGAAACTTATCCAAAGCCTTTTGCAGATTTGAAATCCACTGTACCAACTGAATTAACATAGTTCAATCTATTCCTAGAGCCTTTCAAAGAAATGTAATYGATCCTTGGCTGTGTTCATCTATGGATTCACCACGTGCCTCCTCCATGACAGTTCTTATCAATTTGCCTGACAGATTTATTGATTTGAGGGGATTTGCTGTTCCTCAGATCATCCCYGCATCCCTCTCAAGAATTGGTGCACCATGTGCCCCCCTCCAGTCCTCTGAGGGTGATGTGATTTAGAAGATAAATTTCAAAGCATTTCCTTCTGCCCTTCTGTTACTTTTTTCTTCCCATTTTGAAAATGTTTCTCAGGGTGACTGCCTGTAAAAATGGCTGTGATATGAGAGGGAGCCTCCTTAGTTTCTGTGRAAAGCACAATAGAATTATTTTACCTTCCATTTCTTGGGGGATTTTTTGCATACTAATAATTCTTTTTCCTAAAGGTATTTGTACACACCATCCCAGGGCCCAGATTGTCCCCACAGCATTCCTGCCTTTTGTGGGAGGGCTGGGTACAGCAGATGGATTCTCCTCAAGGCGGATGTTTGCCAAAGGAGTATTTCCATTCCCAGAGGAGGCTCAGATCCCCAGACCAGGCTTTGCTGAGGGGCTTTGACAGAGCTGAGGATAATCCCACTCCTCGAGCCCAATGGTTTAACCACTGACCATGATGCCTAGATCTGGCTTGCCTAGAACAGAGGCTGGACAGAACTGAGAGAATCCAAAGCAGTTCTGTCATTKCAGGGCCTTCAGGGCCATCCAGGGCAGTCCCAGCCCAGCCAGGGGCTGCACCCACAATGGACAATGGCTCACGGCTTTTTCACCCTTTCTCACTTTTGTCCATTTGCACATCGGGATTTGCTGAATCCTCCAATTGCAGCTGCAGCCAATGCAGTCAAAAACTCCAACTTGGCTCCCCCAATTTTCTGTTGTTTCCATCTCTTGGGGCCTGGCACAGGGAGGTGTCCTTGAGTTTGGGGCTGCAGAGGAATTGTTTTGTGTAAAAATGGGAGAGCAGGAGCTCAGCACTGTCTGTGGAGTCTGGAGTTAAACACTGAACAATCACAGGGGTACAGAGACATGGGAATAGAGAARCTGAAATCCTGAGGGATCWYCCATCCCCRCCCAAGAGCCAGGTTTTAAAAGCAAATTCTGCATCATTACTGTGTTACTGCAGGTGTTCAGGTAGCAGCAGATGCTGGGTATAACCCAGGCAGGGAGAGACATTTGGGAGAATGTTTTATTCCTGTACTACCCAGGGCAGGTGAGCATCCCTTAGGAATTTCCATGAGCATCTGCCTAATTGTACATTGGGCAATTTTACATTTTAAAATATTGGCTTTTTCACCTCACTGTGATTTGCTGTGGCAATGCTTTGGCTGTACAGGGGAGTACAAAAGCTTCCTGTTCTCACAGAGACATGGAACAGAATCCCAAAATCCTTGAGGTTGGAAAAGCCCACCAAGATCATGGAGACCAACCTGTCCCCCAGCACTACCAGCACAAAGCCCTGTCCCCAAGTGCCACATCCGCACATCTCCTAAATCCTCCAGAGATGGGGACCCCACCACCATGCTGGGCAGCTCTGCCAGTGCCTGACCACCCTTTCAGTGATGAGATTATCCCAATATCCAATCTAACCCTCCCCTGGCACAGCCTGAGGCCATTTCCTTGTTACCTGGGACAAGAGACC